AGCTAGAGACTCACGATAGGATTTTACAAAACCAATGACTTCTTTATGACAAATACTTAAAAATAAACATAAATATCTACTGTGCACATGGACCTAATGAGATGTAATACACAGGAATCAAATTGTCTAACTCAGATGGGATAGGAAGCAGAGAATGGCCACACCAGACCTTTGGAAATGGTGGTCATTGGAGCTTGGGGGAACCACGGTTTTGTGGGTGTCCAGTGGAAAGGGACCCAGATCACCATATTTTCAGTACCTCGAGGCTTCCTTGGAGCTGCATGACATGTCTTGATCTGTTGGGCAGGGATATGAACTTGGAAGAGCTGATTCAGGAAATTTCCCTTGGCACCAGGGAACTTGCTTAGGGTAAACAGACCTCACTCAATCCAATAGGAGATGGCCCTGTGTGGAACAACAACTCATGTTTTGCAGCTCATGGCAGGATCGAACCTGCATAGACTCCTCACCCAACAGTGTCCAGAGTGATGTGTCAATGGACACATTGGAGTGATGGGTCATCATGTTGCTTGTGCTTCATAAATGTTACTCTTATATTTCAACCTGGTGGGTATAGTGGACTTCCATTGTATGATTAGCATGTTTTACTTAACAGGTTATCATTTAAATTACTTTTATTTTTAACCTGTTTCTTTTGGAACTAGCCACTTACCTATAAGCTTAATTCAGATAATCAGTAATGTGACAATTTGACATTATATCTGAAGATTATTAAACTTAAGATCCATTATTATGCTTCAGATATTTTACATATAACATTCCTTATGACTTTTAATTAACTTTATTTGGTTTTACATTGGATCCAAAATTCCCACCAAGTTTTCATTTTAAAATACTTTTATGAATTAACTATGGATATGTCAGGTTTTATCATCTATCAGTCATCTTTTGCTTGGTGGACCTGATTAAATACCTAAGCACCTCCAACAAGGACACCCAAAAAGGACTATGGTGAACTTATAAAGGGACCTATAGTAGTCCATGGAGCTTCTATTCCATCATGTGACGTAATACAATTATGGAAGCCCAGGATGTAGTTCTGCCCTGTCCTGCGGGGGAAGCTGAGTTGCAACTGTGTTGATGGCACAGGGATGAGAGAGATATTGAAAAGATCACCAATACCTTAAATGCATACTATTGCATAGATTAATGATCCTGTTATTAGAATTCTCTAATGCCACTCTCAGGTTGCTTTTAATATTATTGTTCCAGAAGCTAGTAAGCTGGTGGACACGAGATGTAAAAGCTATACACACATGAAAATATTTTGAACTTGCACTGTAACACATACACTTCACCAGATGGTGACCGGTGATATGAGTGCGATAGAAAACCACAGTGAAGGACTCTGCTGGTGCCCAGCTACCAGAACTTGTGATGGTTAGGGTTTATGTCACCAAGACACTTCTGGCCAGGAATAGGGTCAGACGTGTGACTAAAGGTGCAACCTGATGAATTCTCCTGGATGTCACGAAACTTTTGTAAACTCGGGAGAGGCCACGGGGTGTGGAAGTCTTTTTGACCCTTCACTGTCTACCAGAGCCGTGTGTCTGGCTCCTTGATCTCCTGCCTATCCGGTAGCTGTCAGCAGGCTATCAAGAGTGGACTCAGTCGGTGGACATGTGATTTTTGCATCCACTAGCTTGTGCCCCCTGCTGTCTCTGCTTTATCGTCCTGGTCTGGTCCTGGATCTCCTGTTGCTTCTTGTTCATCAGCTTCCAGGCATCAGGAGAAGCCTGACCTGAACACTACTAGAATACTGATATCCACCACTGCGGTAGCCAACGCTTGACACGCATCTCCTTCTATGGTCAACACAAACATGTGTCCCTGGTTTTGTTTCTCTACAGCACCCAGTTAACACAGAAATCATAGTGTCTGGAGTCTTTAAACAAGGACAATGAAAGGAGGTGTAGGCTAGCCTGTGTGGAAGAAGCACTTCGCATTGAATCTAATCCAAGGAAGTTTAATGAAATTCATGATCACTGAAGGCCATGCATTACGGTTTAAATTTTGAATAATAAGTTTGCAAAAGACCACAGTTAGCTGTGGACATCCTAAATTGATTTTGACTCTTCTTATAGATTCTGTGTGTATTTAATTTTTTCTGACCATTAATGTGCAATGTGAAAAACCTTAACCTTCAGTAGAATGCATTAGGGAGTGGATTGCTACTACTCTCCTAGATAGTCCAAGGAAGACTTGCTTTTAGGGACTTGTCTGGGTGTGTCCTTAATGGAAGTTGGAGTGCAAGGGTCAATAGTCATGAGTCATATCCTGACTGCTGTGCTTTAAGGGCTTCTGAACCAATCTTACACGCTCCTCTCTCTAGAATAGTACACATGTCCCAATCACGGTCCCACACCTGCTTCCCTGTTTCTGCCTGCAACTGTGATGTACTGATCTCTTCCCAATCTCTGTCCTATTTAAGCAGCTGTTTTTCTGTAGCCGTTAAGGAGCATCACTATCTCATCTTGATTTCCCTCATCTGGGTGATGTGTCTTTGTCTTGTCGTTTTCTGTTTAAGGCTTAGTGAATAGATCTCTGTAAATGGTATTTTTAGTTCAGTTCTTTTTTCTCCCACTTCACACATTGTACTATGTGTTAGTCTAGGTAAACTATAAAAGCAAATCCATAGAAATTCATATGTATAGGAGAGAGTTTTATATATAGGGTAAGTGTACATTCAGGAAGCATCCCAACCTATTCCAGTCCAAACCCATAAGTCCGACTTAGCCCATATGTCTGACACCAACCTACAAAGTCCTCCTCAAACTCACAAAACACACACAATGAAGCCAAATGCAGGAGGACCACAGGCCAGTAGGTAGAAAATCTTTGAATCCCAGTGGCAGTGTAAGCATCTTAGCGCTGACATGGGTCTCCACACAGCTTCTCCAGCACCCAGGGCTGCATCAGGGTATGTCCCTGAGGCTTCCCCTCAGGGATGTCTCGCAGGAAATGAGCCTTGCCAGCTAAGGCAGCCTCACACTGGTCTGACCATCACAGAACAAGAGACCGAAGAACCAAAAGGGCAAGGCCAACCCAGCCATTTATCTTTCTGCTTTTCAATTAATCCCACATGTATTTTATCAGCCAGGTTGGCACACTAAACTTAACCTATCTCACAGTATCATGGTCCCCTATTTAATGTTTGCAATTATTCTACTTAATGTTTATTCAATATTAAAACTTCTCTCTCTCTCTCTTGATAAGTTTTTCTGGGCTGGGAGTAGACTTTTAGTCACTTTTCCCTACAGTATTTGTAAACATTTATGAAAATTTATTGGAATGTATATTTCAAAATTTATTGGAATGTGCATCATATTGCATGCAAAGCACAGTACAAAGTTTATTTTTTAATAAATATATTATTTCTTTTGGAAAATATCTTGGGAAATACCAGTAGGAGTCTGGGGGTAGTATATGAATATAATACAGGATGAATTTTTGAAGTCTCATAATTTTGATATCTAGAGTGATCCATGTAATTCTTTCTAAACATTTGTTTCACGTCTCTTTAATCAAACTCTTACAGACCCCGTATAACAAGATAAAACTCTTGGGAGTTTACAAGATAACAGTAACGCTATGAGTTGCAATTGACTCAGTGACAGTGAGTTTTGGTTTGGTATTGTTGTTGATCACACTATTATTGGCTCACAGACTAATGTGCTGTAATAGTAATTTATGTCCCTGATTATATTTCTATTCTAAGCAACATGAAGTAGTATAAATTAAACGTGGAAAGAATGTGAAATGGAGCACATCCTACGTGATGATTCAGGGCAATTGTGTCATTATTTCTATTCTGTTATTGAAAGTTCTCAACATCTTGGAAATTTAGAACAAAGGTTCTAAGAGGACACACTCTATTTTCAAACTCTGTCTTAATTACACACATAAATGAGTGACTTTCATTGCTAATAATTGATGGGAGCAGAGAATGGGAAGAGAGTGTATAAGGATGAATCCTTTAGTCTCATCTTTTTTTCCCCTCTCTCTCCCTCTTGCCTCCCCTGTAGTATCATCTTTTAAGGAGCCTAGCAGGCTGGGTTTCTGGGCTGGAGGGAGGCTTTCACCCCTGTGAGTTGGAGGAGAGTCCCAATCACATTCTCATAAATACTATTGTTCCTCACTGTGTCCTACCATCATAGTGATACCTTTAAGTTACTTCTTACAAGCACATGGCTGATTGCTGTGTAGCCAGAAGCTTTATCTGTAGGAGCAGATACAGGCTAGGGCTCTCTGGGCTCTGAAGACAGCCCCTCCCCCTTTACCTGACTGGGCACTGGTGTTGGGTGACTCCTCCATGATCCTCAGGGACCTTTAGGGTTAGGGTACAGCCCACTTTGTTACATGCATATGGTTACTTGTAATTAGTGGAGGCTGCATACTTCCTGAGTGTACATAATCTTTTGTTGGAAATATATTCTCTCTCTCTGCACAGACCAGCTCCTGAAATCATGGCTGTCCCAGAGGTGAGCACTTGCATGCTTTACCTTGTCTGACGCCTCTTTAGTTTTACCCTCCACTACACAACTGCCCCTTGGACCCATTCAATTGTGGGGGCTGGTGCCCCACAAGCAATGCTGTGAATAAAAGGAGCATGCTTCTCTTGGTTTTAATCTCTCTGACAATTAGCTTTGTGTCCTGACCTTTGGCATGCTTGACAGATCCAACTATTACACAAGAAGATGGCCCCCTCCCCCTTCTCAATGTGCATCCAGGTGACTGAAGGAATAGACGGGAACTAAATCCAACACTATCATTCTAGGTTCCAACCCAGTCCAAAGTTCTTTAGGATAGCTTTATTAGTTCCACTTTCAGTGTACCTGGAACAACAGGAGGTAAGCTTTGCCTTTTTAGTTCTACTTATTCTGGAAGTATTCAGAACTCTGTGCATCTCAACAGGTCTGTTTGTCTCCATCCCAAGAATATTTTCCCAATCCAGGAATGAGTTAAATGACTTAGAGCCCATAAACCCTCTTGGATACTGACAACAAGAATACTGGAAGCCAAACCTTCAAGTGCACTGAGGAAGCGAGGAGAAACTCTCCCAGATCAACTCCTGTGGTAAGAGAGCAATGTGGGCTGCTCTGAGGGTGTGGATGTGGAAAAAGAGGGGCTTGAATTCTGGTTTACATGCTGAGGAAGCTCCTTTCTCTTCTGTGAGCTAAGCCACAAAGGTGTGTTTGGTAATAAAGTATAAGTTAATGCGAGAAGAATACGCTAGATAAGCTGAGAGGAGTAGGCTAGTTTAGTGTATAATTTTATTTCTCATCTTTAAACTAGAGATTTTCAATTTCATGGTAGGTCTAGTGAGAAGAAGAGTCTATAGATAACCAAGAGAGTCCATAGAACTTAGGGAACCATCTACAGTTGACCACGCTCCACACTTGCTGAGGAAAGAGTTGGTGTTCATAAGAAAGTCAAGGAAAGCAAACAATGCACTGGGGGTTGGAGTAGGGGCTCCAGAATTTTAAACATATATTCAGAAATGTGTGTCTTAAAGTATGTGAAGGAGAAATGATAATAAAACAAAACAAAACAAAAGCCAAACAACCGAATCAAACAAAAAACTGAGGGTAGAGGTAAGTCATCGAACACAGTTATTAATAGTCTTATCATTGTTCTTTGGTAAGAATTTACACTTTCTTTCCCTTATGGAGTATCTTATTGTAAGAGCGAATATCTCTATGCCTCTGACACACGCCACTTTCTACTTGCAGAAGATGGTGAACTTCCCAGGCTTCCCTCCAGCTCATGTTCTCACCCGTTTTCTCCTTCTCCTGGCAGCCACATGCTGCAAGGCAGGTCAGTGCTTTGTTTCTCTGGGTGTCTTTTTCTTCTTTGATATTTTCAATTGCTGTAATTGACATAAATGGTTTCCCGTCAAAATGGTTATTCCAGTGGGAAAGAAATTGTGTGGCATCTACTAATAGGAAGTCTGTAGGGCAGGGTAGGTATGGCGTGTTCTGTGTTACATCAGCACTCCGTACTGCTTTGAGTAGACCTCTTATCTCACACGGCATTACTCTTTGTCTAAATTGTTACTGAACATATTCAATTATATACTGTTCCATCTTGAAATAATTGCAATTGAGCGACATCGTTTGAGTTACAGGTGTACTCTGAGATGACACAAGATTAGAGAAAAAGAAAGGGCCATGGCCTGCATCCAGCATACCGATCACTGTTAGGCTGCCTGCGAGACTGTCTGTCCAGCCTCTCTGAGACAGATGGACACTGGCACCTTCCTCCAAGTTCTCGTGCCCTTGACCCAGGGTCACCATAAGGACATCCGTTTCTGAAAACTTGTCTTGTTTTGTTTGGAAGTCACTGCATTGACTCACCCCTGAGCCCTGAGCAGCCACTGAGCTTGCAATATTCTAGTTCTCATGCTTTGCTCTGGTGCACCAGTCCCACCTTTCACATATCATAGGTTTCTGCAATAAAATTAATTTTCAGGCAGATGGATAAGAAATGGTTAAGGAACGATCTCCTTCTCTAATTTAGACACAAAGCTCCCTTTTAGATCTGCAGAATTGTCTATCTCTTCCTTGGCAGTCCACATGCCCTGTCAGGTCAAGACCACACTGTGCCTCAATACTTGAAGCCTCAGGCCTCCAAGTCTTGCCTTAACTCAGGAAAATGAATGTTATAAAATCAGTTTTTATGATTCAATGAATTTATATTTATTTTAAAATAAAACTTTTCTCCTTGTATAGATTCTACTCATCACCTTAATTAAAGCACTCATAATGTACTCACCCTCCAACACAGGGTAACCTAAAAATCAAGGACAGAAATATTAAACTATGAATCTACTAGCAGGGTTCTGGGAAATAGATGAGAGAAAATAACAAATATTTTTAAGTTACCAAAGAAAAATGAAAGCTTAACAATTTGCCTTGGCCCCCTAAATTAATAATAAATCTTTAAGGGTTTTATATAGTTCATATGTGATTACTAGATTTATTTAAATTAGATATAATAAATGAATAAGGAAGATAAGGAGACTTGATGCCTTTGGATTATGATTTTGGTGAAGAAAATTGAATATAACATGGCCTGAGAAAAGAACGAATGTCTGTGGTAGAAACATTGCAGTGAAAATGTTTCCTAGAAATAAATGTCCTGGTTGGGACTTCCCCTCCTGTACTTTTCAATGTTGTCAGAAGTGTCCAATCTCAGTAGAACACTGGACTGGGTGAAGTAGCAGGTCCGCAAAAAGCTCAGGGAGATAGGTAGACAAAGTGGCTACAACAATGGATTGCAACATTGTATTTACTGTGAGGATACGGCATTTTGTTTCTCTCGGTTGTACCTAGTTTCCCTCTGACTTGACTTCATCTAACAGCAACGTTTCTAATTTCATAAACAAATAGATTTCAAACTGTCAAAAGTTTTTACTTCTGGAGCACCTAATGCAATCTGTTGCTAAGGGACACTGAGAATGTTGTTGAAGTTTAGTTCCTCTTCTGCATGTATTCTTTTATATCACTTTCTACCTTTTCAGAAAATAATAAAAATGGGAAATGAGCTTGAATCATTTAATAATACAATACAGTTGGTTTTCCATGTCATTTACTAGCACGTATTCTCCTAATATGTCTCTGATGTGCATGTAGTGCTTGGATTTACTGTGAAAGGACCAGCTAAGACTTTGGTAGTCGCTATTGAAGCAAATGCTGCTCTACCCTGCTAGCTCTCCCCTGGGAGGAGCACAGCCCACATGCACATCCACTCATACAGAGCCCAGGCCTCCCCTGCTGTGCTCCTGTACCATATGGACAGGAATAAGGTGGGGAGCAGATGCTAGAGAAACCTCACAGGACAGAGTTGACATGAGATGCTTTAGACAAGGAGAGTGTGGCGCTGATGATGCAGCATGGCCATGCCTCTGATGACGGCCCTTAACAGTGTCATTTTAAGATAGTGATATGTGCCAAGATGCACTGCGAAGCTGAATGCTATGGGAGTGATACCATGGCACAGACTCTCTATGTTACAGAGTAAAAAGGGGGGGGGGTTGGGGAGGATATCAATATTTCTTACCTGGCAGTCTCTTGTGATCTTTCCTAAATTATTATGCCTCATTATATTACAGTTAATTTTTAAAACTTGACAATGCAGATAAGTCTACATAATCCATTCTTTTAAATATCAAGTCATGTTGGTTTACAAAAACAAGAACAAGACAAAGCAAAATTTGCTCCTAAAATATCTAGGAAAATATATTTACTACTATTGGTTCAGATAAATACAGACACCTTCTTAAATTATTAGTTTTCACTCAATCAGGAAAGAAAACTAACAAAACAATTAAGCTTCTTTTCTATTTTTTTTTTAAAAAGCAAACAAAAATGATCTCTTTTGATTAAAAAAAAAAGCACTTCCTGGAATGGCCCTGAAGTTCTCTCAGTTCAAGCACAGTGAAAAGGCTTTATGTTTAATTTGAAATATGCTCACAAGCCAGTCTAAATGGCCACAAGCTTCTTATTTTTAAGACATCTGATCTTTGGTTTAGAGATCAGTCTATTTCAACCTCTGACACTTCTGATATCAGAAAACTACTGGTCTCAGACATATGCTTTCTCTTCTCCGATTTGGGCTCTGTTCTTCAGGTACGTATGACAGGACCTGGGCATAGTGGAATCATGCTGCCATGTTCCTCAAGTGATGGGTTCCTCGAACCCAAGGTAGAATGGAGAGTCATGGCAGGAGTGAAGCCACCTTCAATTAAACTTGCCGGGAGTCATTCTGAGTCCCAGACTCAAGAGGGAAATGGGCTTTTCCATGTTGAGGCATCTCTGTGGTCACAGAGAGCAGCCAGGGCAATGTGACCTGCCCCGTCCACAATTCTCTCTTTGGACAACAGAAAAAGTCAACCATCTGAGGTGATAAGGGAGAGTGGACATCAGGGAGGAAAAATGAAAAAATGCTAAAGCGAGTTGCAAAAAGAGAACAAGATTCCTTCCTGATCTGTGTCTGATTGTGTCTCCATGGGCTCACACCAGAGCCCTTGCTCCCTAGGATGTCTCCACGTGAAGTTGCCCTGATTGCGACAGTCTCTGTGCTGGGCCTCCTCTTCATTGTAGTCAGCTGCCTTCTATGGAGAGAACGTACAGACAAACAGAAGTGGAAAAAGGAAGCTGGTAAGAGAGCAGATAAACGATGTGAAGAAAATGATCCCTAAGAGCAAAGGTAAAGGCAAGAGGAGAGCAAAGCAGAGGGTCGTGGAGATGCTGGGGGTTTGGGTTGTTTGGGTGGATAATGAAACGAAAGGTCACCCAAGGGGGACAGGAAAAAACAAGGGACCAAGCTTTCCACAGACATGGAAATCCTATGAAGAGAACTGTTGTGCCCAGATGAAAATGAATAAACCATCCAAAACTTTAATTAAAGTTAATAAGCCTTTCGTAGCCAGCAGTCAGGGGGCCATAGAACCTAATCCTCCCTTGACATTGAGTACTTAAAGTGAGAGGTTTTTATATGGTGGAATCAACAAGGCACAAGGGCAGGTGGCTTCATGCTATACGGAAAAACAGGAACTTATAACAATAGAACTGGGTCTACAAGCAACACCAGAAATTTCAAATATAAATGCAATAGGTCAGCAGCTACAGAAATTACAAAAAGAATTACAGTAGCTACAAAGTTGCCACATTTGGGTCAATATAAAATGACTGCACTCAGGCTAATTAATTCAATATGGTTACATTGCTAAAATTGCTACACTTAAGTTAACGACTACATTATCGTTACATTGAGTTTAACTGTGGTGATTTATCATAGAACCACGTGATATGTTAGATTCATAGACAGTGTTCATGATGCCACTGAAATGTGGCTCCTAAAACTCATGCGGTGTTTTTTTATACTTCAGTGTCCAAACCTTCGTTTCTGTTTGTTTGTTTTTTTTAACGAAAAAATGTTTGCCTTATCTAAGACCCAGAACATAACCATACCCAAAGTGAATGGTGGTGGTTTGGGGACGGGGGACGTGGAGTGGAGGGCCAATGCCTGTCTGTAAACAATTGGACATCGCCTCACAGAGGGTCACAGGGAAGAGATGAGCCAGTCAGGGTGCAGTATCGCACCGATGACACACACAACTTTCCTCTAGCTCTGTAATGTGTTCTTCCCCCCACGATCATGACCTCATGTCTGCCTTACAAACCAGATTAGACCAGAACATGCACACTGCTACAGATAAGAGCCCGCCACACAGGGAATCCAAGATAGATAAACCCCTCAGGGCCAACATTGAGAGTAGAGATACCAGGAAGATTAGGGGATGGAGGGGGCGGGGTAGGGAGAATCGATCACAAGGATCAACCTAGAAATCCCTCCCAAAAGGATGAATAACAGAAAAGTGGGTGAGGGACGATAGAGGATGATGTAAAATATGGAGATAATAATCTATGATTTATCAAGGGTTCATGAGGGAAGGCAGGTACGGGAAGACGGGGGAACAAATGGGGAGCTTATATCAGGGCTCAAGTGGGAAGAGAATGCTTTGAAAATGGTGATGGCGGCCTATGTGCCAGTGTGTTTGACACACTGGATGAATGTATGCCTCGTGATAAGAGACGTAAGAGCCCCAATAAAAGTATTTAAAAAATTCTTTGCCTTACTTTGGCTTTCCAGCCACCTTCAAGGAATAAGTTTATAATTATCTACAAAATCGTAACTTCTTTAAACCATCGGTGTGTCTTCTCTGTGACTCCAGGGCACTTTGCTGTAGCTGTTCTTAGTTCCAGCTCTTTTCTGTTTGCCATAAATGGTACTTACCTTTCCATTTGACCTAAATGTTACTTATATATGGAATTCTCAAAGGAACTTCAAACTGAATTTATGTTAAGTACTCCATATACTCAGGGGTAGATCAAAACCAATCTGAAGGATTTTACATATTTTTCCTCTTTCTGACACCCTCTGGGAAGAACTTGGTGAGTCTTATTTTTTTCTGTTGACTCAGGTAGAATCTGCTTCTTTTTTTAACATCATTTCTGAGCTTCTCATTGACATTCTGATCCCCCATTTTGTTTCCCCAGAAAAGCAGAAGGCCTTGTATCCTGAATGTAGGTAACTTTGGGTTCCCATATCACCTGTTATCCTGGTGCCCATTATTTTTGGCACTCCTTTCCACTTGCAAGCTGTACAAACTAATTTGACACCACTTTGTGATATTTTATTAGAGTTTTAAATAATTGATTGTGTATTCCCTTTGCCAAAGTTCTTAGGTTAGTCCCAATTCCCTCATTGATGGCCATAATAGCTTTACCTCAAGGCCTGTGATCCACCTTGAGTTTATTCTCGTGCATGGAGTGAGGTAAGGGTCCTGCTTCAATTTTCTGCAGGGAGATATCCATTTTCCCCCGCATCTGCTTCACATCTGATATTCTTTGGACCCTTATCAAAGATCAGTTTTCTGTATGCTGATTATTTTATTTCTAAGTTTTCAGTTCTTTTCCATTGATCTGAATATCTGCCATTATACCAATTCCACACTGTTTTGACCATTGCGGCCGTATAATGTGTGCTAAAGTCAGGTAGAACAAGCCCTCCCACTATGTTCTTCTTGAGGAGTTCTCTGTAATTTTGGGCTTCTTCCCTCTCCATACGAAGTTAGTAATCAGTTGTATTAGTCTAGGTACTTTGGAGAAACAAATCCACAGTGACTCATGTATAAGAGAGAGTTTTATGTAAAGAAAATGTGCATCACGTAAACATCCCAATCCAATGCTGCCCAAGCCCACAAGTCCAACATTAACCCATTAACCCAACACCAGTCCACAAAGTCCTCCACCTCACAAAACAGAGGCAATGATGCCGACTGCAGGAGGAAAGCTGAGTCAGTGAAAGAACAAGCATCTCAGCACTGGCAGGGGTCTCCACACGGCTGCTCCAGCACCCAGGGCTGCATCGGGGTAGGTCCATGTAGCTTCTCCTTGGGGATGTCTTGTAGGAAGTCAATCTTGCAAGCTGAAGCAGGGAACTCTAAGGCAGCTGCACCCGGTGCAACCATCACAAAACAAGAGACCCGAGAACTAGAAAGGCGAGGCTTCACCACCCATTTATCCCTCCGCCTTTCAACCAGCACCACATGTGATTATCGGCCAGGCTGGCACAATTAACTAACTCATCAGTTTTTCCAGTTCTTTGAAGAAAAGTTATGTTTTTGTATCAGGATAGCATAAACCTTAATTAGTGCCATGGACAGAACTGACATTTTTACTACCTTGAGTCTTCCAGTCCAAGAGCAAATGATATTCTTCCATTTGTTGAGCTCAATCTTGGTTTCTTGAATAGTGTTTTGTAACTTTCATCATATAGATCTTTTTGGGTTTTTTTTCAGTGAATTACATCCCTAGCTATTTCAATTTGTGATTGGCTATTGTAAAGGGTATAACCTTTTTGATCCCTTCTTCCGTAGTCTTGCCCAATGGTTATAGCAGTCAGATAGACTTGGTTGTTGATCTTGTATCCTGCCACTGTGCCACATTTCTCTATTGCTTCCAATATTCCCTTGTGGGCTTTTGGGATTTTCCATATATAAAATCATATAATCTGTGAATAACAGTAGTTTCACTTGTTCCTTCACCAGTAGAATACCTTTGATGTCTTTCTTTGCCATATGTTGATAACTAAAACCTCCAGTACGATGTTAAATAAGAGAGGGGATGTGTGAGTCTGGGTACATTAGAGAAACAAATCCACAGAAACACATGTATAAGAGAGAGTTTTTTATAAAGAGTAAGTGCACATCAAAAAACCATCCAAACCCAGTGCTGCCCAAGCCCATAAGTCCAACATTAACCCATATGTCCAACACCAATCCACAAAGTCCTCTTCCATCTCAAAAGACACACACTATGATGCTGACTGCAGGAGGAAAGCCAAATGAGTGAATGTGTAAGCATCTCAGGTCCAGCACCCAAAGCTGCATCGGGGTAGGTCCATGTGGCTTCTCCTTGGGTATGTCTTGCAGGAAGTCAGCGTTGCAAGCTGAAGCAGGGAACAGCTAAGGCAGCTGCACCTGGTGCGAGCATCAGAAAAGAAGAGATCTGAGAACTAGAAAGGCGGGGCTCACTGAGCCATTTATCCCTCTGCACTTCAATTAGCCCCACATGTGTTTATCGGCCAGGTTGGCACAATAAAGTAATTACCTCAGGGGACAAGGGTCTTCCTTCTCTGGCCCCTTTTTCAGAGGGATTGTTTTGTCTTTTCTCCATTAACTACCACATTGACAGTTGGTTTTTTATATATAGTTTTATTATATTGAAGAATTTTCCTTCCATTCCTATCTTCTTGAGTGACTTAAACAGGAATTGGTATTGGAGGTTGTTCATTGTGTTTTCTACATCTATCAATATTATCATGTGGCTCTTATAATTTTCCATGTCAATGATATGAATAATTCTAATGGTCTTTTGTATGTTGAACCATCCCTGCATCCCTGGCTTGAATCCAACTTGGTCATGGTGAATTATTTGTTTCATATACTTTTGTATTCTTTTGTGCAGTACTTGGTTAAGGATTTTTGCATCATTGTTCATTAGGGATATTCATCTGTAGTTCTCTATTCTTGTGGGATCCTTGCCTAGTTTAGGTATCAGAGTTATACTAGCTTCATAAAAAGACTGGGAATTTTCCATCTTTTTCTATATTCTGGAAGAGTTTGTGTAGGATTGGTGTTAGTTCTCTGAATGCTTGGAAGAATTCTCCAGTGAAGCCATCTGGTCCAGGGGATTTTTTGTTGGCAATCCCATGATAACCTTGACTCTTTCTGCTATTCCTATGGGACTATTGAGATTCTTGATATTTATTGGGGATAATCTAGGGAGGGATTGTTTTTCCAACAATTTATCCATGTCTTCCAAGTTGTTGAATTCATTGGAGTACAGTTCTTCGTAGTACTGTGTAATTGTCCTTTTGATTTCATTGGAGTCTGTTGTAATGTCCCTTCTTTCATCCCTCATTCTTGCTATTGAAGTTTGTTCCCTCCTTTCTTTGGTTATGTTAGCTAGCGGTCTGTCAATTCTGTTGATCCTTTCAAAGAACCAACTTTTAGCAGCATTAATTTTTTCCATAGTTTTCTTATTTTCCCTTTCCTGAATCTCAGCCCTGATTTTTCTTATTTCTTTTCTTT